AAAAAAGTAATTTTCACTTGCATATATATGTCAATAGCAGAAATAACAAAAAATTTATAAATCCCAAGCACAGAACCAAAGCCAACTTGTGAAACTGCTCCTCATGTTATGTCCTACCACTGGGTTCCACGCTAATATTGCCCAGAGACCTCCTGTTCACAACGTTTGAAATAATGATGACACAGTCTATACTRGAACATATTCAAATAATGAATTCTCACCACTTTCACATAACTAAAAATATTGTTTTCCAAACAGTCCTCAAATATTAAAGCAGTTGTTGAACATGTGCAGGACTAAATACTATGGAAATTCAGGTGTTATCACTTTCTGTACCAAAAATCCAGGTGTACACCTAAAGGCTTGGTGGAAGTCCAACATATTGATCTGTTTATATATTTGACAGTATCTGCCATTCTAGACTGAAGAGTAGTTTACATATCCTACAGCCTCAGTGAAATAAAAAAGCTGGCACCATTGATAAAAAGACTAATCTCTATAGAATGAGAGACACATAACCTTCCAGGGCATTAGAAAATTGTTGGTTTACAGAACTTTAAAGCACAGGACTGCCATTTTTGCAGCACTTGACCACCTCTGGCCATAACATACAAAGTTCATAGAGGTAAATGAAAGGTTCTTTGATGAGAAACAGAAAGGCAAGTCTTAGACTCTGAAACTATCTTAAACATTTTCATACCTCAAAAGGTGTCATTTTCATTAATAGTATCTCTCTCTCCTGATAATGTCATCTCTCCTGACACAGTTATTTTAAATCAGAACAAATTTGARAATATTCCTTCAACAGGGCTACAAGCTACTGATGACTAGATGTGTTGTTTCAGTAGCAATGAAGGACATTAAATAAATGGAATATAAAAACCAGGAGTAAAAAGAGCAGTAATCAGATACTTAATGTCATAGAGTACATGCATTCTAACAAGTTGACTCTTAAGTACAAATCAAKTGTTGGCATTAATACTCAAAAAGTTTCTGTCGATTTGCAGATCTCTACAGATTCTCAGCTCAGCAACACATCTAAATGAAAAGTCTGTAGGATAAAACTTTATTACACTAGTTTCTAAGCTCTCCCATTCCCTCTTCAAAAACCTTGAAGACATAGTGTCAGCGTTTTACCGTCATTATAGTGTTATCTGATAACAATTTGAATTGAAACGTAGGATAAGCACCTTGTTGCCCACAACAACTTCCAAATGTTCAGAAAAACTTCAGTATTGCTTCTTCTTTAAAAATGTACTCTAAGTCACTTACCAGCTCTTCCACGTGTTTAAATTATGCAGCTCCTTAGAAATGAGCCATGCTAACTTACAAAATAATAAGAAATTCAAGGAGAGAATAGCTTTAGGGCTCTCTGAAAAGGTGTAGCATACTCAAAGTTACATACACATACRTTTATCTACAGCTGTATTAATCCAAATATATGCACAG